AGAGAGAGAGAGAGAGAGAACACACACACACTGAGCCTCGTGAAATAAACTGTTTTTTCGTAACTTAAGACAAATAAAAAAATAAATCAAATTGTTTAGCGTCACAAAACACAATTACAAACTTGCATACAAAATAACACTAAACAATTTACACTCAGCATACCGTAACTAGATACATCACTTAACGAAGGGCAGCGGATAAATTTAGATAATATTTTTTTTAATAGAACTTTCATATCTAAATACTAAGTTAATATATGTACCATAAACAGAATCTTTACTTAAATCGTAACATCATTTTTAGAAGGTTATATTTCAACCCTAAGTTATATTAATAGTTAAATTATTCACAGATTTTAAGTTTAAAAAGTAAATTCAATCGTAAGAATCTCTATGAATTTCTCCTGTAGCTTCCCACCGCCCACCTACCCACCCACAAGTTGAAACGACCACAGTGTTGCCAGTTAAGCTAGACCCCCCACTCGTCATGCAAGACAGATGCCGCTACGTTTACCAGAGAAGAGATGCAATGTGGGGGTTATTGCCAGCCTCTGTTGCAATATAACACGCAACATTCATTATCTCCTTAAAACTGAATGTTGGATAAATTGGCCACCCAGTCCTGACCATAAGCTGACCCCCCAATCTAACCACTTGGATTGGGGGCCATATTACAATTGGAACTATATCACAAATGGTTAGGTTAGGTTAGCACTTAAGGCATTTTTCGGGAGGGCAAGAGAGAGATGAGAGAAGGGGAAAGAGGAGGATGTGGGAGAGGAGGAGGAGGGAGAAGAAAGAGGGGGGAGAGGAGGAGAGAGGAGGAAGAAGGAGAGGGTGCGAGGAAGGAGGAGGAGAGGGGGGTGAGGATGAGAGAGGAGGGGAAGGAGAGGTGAGAGTGGCTTGGTGTTGACGGGAGCGACTAACTAATCTCCTTAAGAAGTCTGAGAGAGAAGAGTGAAAGGAAGTCATGAACGTGAAAAATAAGAACAAAAGAGAAGAATATGAAAAATAGGAAGAAAAATGATAAAGAATGGAGAGAGAAAAAAATTGAGAGAACGAAGTGAGAGAAGGTTGAGACATTCAGCCGTGCATCTCCTGAATTCTTTTTGATATAAAAATTCTCTTTCTATCTTTCTTTCTTTCTTTCTTTCTTTCTTTCACCTGAACGCCAACCATTTCGCCATAGTCTCAGAAGAGTATTTTTTTCATATATAAAAAAAAACCTAAATAGAAAGATAAAATAACTAAACTGCTTATAAAAAAAAATAAACAAAATCCCCCCAAACACACAAAAAATAAATCTAAAATAAAAATCCCTATAAAATACTCCATTTACATAAGAAAGTAACAAAATACCCGGGGGAGATATTTGGTTGTAAATTTAGGCTGTGAGGGCGTCGTAACATGCAAATACTAGCGGTCATATCAACTGATCCCAAGTGTTTACGGGGCCACACCAGACCGGCCACACGACCCCAGGGGGAGGGAGGAGAGTCAGGGGGATATTTACACCCCAGTCGCACCAAGCCACCTTCGACCTTAACACAACAAGCTATAAGTCTCAGATTCCCACCATTGTCGGAGCCCCTAGTGAATGAAGTGTAGCGAAGCAGCTTCTCTGTATCGGCACCAGCTGATCTTCTCCCCTCGTGAACCCCGAACCCGAACCCCGACCCCGACCCACTCCTCTGATGAAAGATTTGTGTATAGAGAAACTGGACCCGAAAGTATTGGAACTCGTTGTCATTTTTATGTAGTTTTGGTATTTATATTTATATTTGTCTTTCTAATTACGTTACGACAACAACAACAACAACAACAACAACAACAACAACAACAACAACAACAACAACAACAACAATAATAATAACAATAATAATAATAATAATAATAATAATAATAATAATAATAATAATAAAAATAATAATAATTTCCTTCGTAATCTAATCAATAAAAATCAAAATTGCAAAATATAAATAATAACGTAATAGATGAAAAATATTGCACCAACTAATGAATGTTGTTGTTGCAAGATTCTGAAGAAAAAAAATCGTTGCTAAATAAACTTCTCATGCAGGTGTAAAATATTGCAATTGCTAATACATGATGTTGCAAGATTACCAAAACTCCTTCATAAATATACATTACCTGCCGTGTGTTGATCCCTTAAGTGAGGTGTAAGTGTAGTGTTTAACCCTCTGTGTAGTAGGATAATAACCCCTGTGTATTATGGAGTTTAATCCTTTAACTCGACTATGTCAATATCCTGAAATGAATTTATATTTTTAACATATTGGATTAGGTTGAGTTAGGTTGTGTTGTTAGGTTAGGTTAGGTTCTTGATCCAGGTGTGAATCATTAATAAGTGTAAACACAGTATTCCTTCACCTAGCGTGTCATACAACAGGTAACACTTAACGAGTAAACTTTTATACCAGTTTGTGTAAGAATGTGTGTGTGTGTGTGTGTGTGTGTGTGTGTGTGTGTGTGTGTGTGTGTGTGTGTGAGCAGGTGTGCTGTTTAAACTTGTGCGTGTCTTGCATGAACGTGTGTAGGTTTATGTGTGTGTGTGCTGTGTATACATGTGTTCATGTAAATATGTGTGTGTCTGTGTGAGTATTCTGTAAACATTTGTATATGTAAACGTGTGCGTGTGTTCTGTGTTAACATGTTTATATGTAAATGTATGTGTGTGTGTGTGTGTGTGTGTGTGTGTGTACAAACAACGGCTAAGGTGGACCACAAAGTAATAAAACAAACAATAAAACAAACACAACAACAGCGATGTCGCCAAAAACAAAACAAGAACAATATCGCTAAATAATAACATCGACAAAACAATAAGAAGATCACGAAAATAATAATAATAATAATAATGTTTCCGAGCGAATAAGGAGAGGGGGAGAGGGAAGGAGGGGAGGAGGAGTAAGAAGAGGGAGGAAGGAAGAGAAGGGGAGGAGGTGGAAGGAAGGGAAGGAGGACAGGAAGAAGAAGGAAAGGAAGAGGAAGAAGAGAAAGAGGTGAAAGAAGATGAGAAGGAAAAATAAGGAAGAGGAGAAGGAAGAAAATGAAAAGGAAGATCAAGAAGAGGATCAAGAAAAAGAGGAAGAACAACAAGAACAGGAAGAAGAACAACAATATCAAGAGGAACAAGAACAAGAAGAAAGAAAAGAGAGAAAGTAGAAAGCAGAAGGAAGAGCAAAGGAAGAACACAGACAACAACACACAGCTGTGGGTGGTGAGGGAGTGAGAGGTGAGGGAGTGAGAGGTGAGGGAGTGAGAGGTGAGGGAGTGAGAGGTGAGGGGAGCAGAGGGGAGGGAGGAGAGGTGGGGAGGGAGGAGAGGGAGGGAGGGAAGGGGTGAGGGGATGGGAGAGGTGGGAGGGAGGAGAGGTGGAGGGGAGGAGAGGTGAGGGGAGGGGAGGAGGAGGAGAGGTGAGGAGTGAGAGGAGGGAGTGAAGGTGAGGGGAGGAGAGGGAGGGGAGGAGGGGTGAGGATGGGAGAGGGAGGAGGAGAGGTTAGGGGAAGAGAGGTGAGGATGGGAGAGGTGAGGGGAGGAGAGGAGGGAGGAGAGGAGGGAGGAGAGGTGAGGGAGGAGGGGTGAGGGATGGGAGATGAGGGGAGGAGAGGTGAGGGGAGAGAGTAAAGAGATGGGAGAGGTGAGGGGAGGAGAGGTGAGGGGAGGCAGAGGTGAGGGGATGGGAGAGGGGAGGGAGAGAGGAGGGGAGGAGAGGAGGGAGGAGAGGTGAGGGGAGGAGAGGTGAGGGGAGTGAGGGGAGAGGATGGGAGAGGGGGAGGGAGTGAGAGGTGAGGAGGAGGTGAGGGGATGGGAGAGGAGGAGTGAGAGAGGGGAGTGAGGGAGGCAGGCAGGAGAGGGGAGGGAGGGAGGGGTGAGGGAGAGAGGTGAGGGAGGAGAGGTGAGGGGAGTGAGGGTGAGGGGAGAGAGGAGGGAGGAGGTGAGGGAGGAGGTGAGGGGAGGAGAGGTGAGGGAGGGAGAGGAGGATGGAGAGGGGGGAGGGGAGGGAGGTGAGGGAGTGAGGGTGAGGGAGGAGAGGAGGATGAGAAGAGATGAGAGGAATGGTAGTTAGTGTCCATCTCACCCGTCCACTTCACCTGTCCACCCCACCATACCCAATGACTTAAACTTCTGTGAGCCCCAAAACTATCAAATTCTCTTAAATAGCCCTTAACTCCCAATGACCTTGTGTGGTTGGGTAGTTTAGAGGGGTAATTTGATCTGGGTAATTTCCTTCTTTTATATGTTATTTTTGTTATTATCATCATCATCATCATTATCATCACCATCATCATCATCATCATTATCATCACCATCATCATCATCATCATCATCATCATCATCATCATCATCAATTTAATTTTCCGAATGACCGCCAGAGGGCTATGATTGCAGGAGGAGGGGAGAGAATATACTCAAGGTGGCGGGGAAAATCTTGGCAAGAGAGGGGAAACTGGCAGGGAAATTTTTTGGGGGCAGAGTAGCTGAGGGTGAACCTGAGTGGAAACAATCAGAGGGGAAAGACAGGTGAGGGAAAGAAGGGGAAACAAGTGAGGGAAGAACGGATGAGAGGTGAGGGGAAGAAGAGGAGAGGGTAGAAGAGTTGAGAGGTTAGGGGAAAAAGGGATGAGAGGAAAGGGGAAAAGGTGAGAGAGAGGTGAGGGGAAAAGGTGAGAGAGATGAGGGGAAAAGGGAGACAAGTGAGGAAAGAGGGGAAGAGAGGTGAAGGGAGATGGGATTTCTGAAAGGAGATTTAAATTACATGACCACAGGAGAGAGAGAGAGAGAGAGAGAGAGAGAGAGAGAGAGAGAGAGAGACCAACACACTCCAATCTAAAACATAAACGCACTCTACAACACACTCACCTGGTTGATAAAGAAGCGTGAGTGTATTCTGAAGGACATCCACGCACTCTAATCTAACGAAAACCAACACACTCCAATAAAAAAAACACATAAACACACTCTACCAACTCACTCACCTGGTGCATGAAGACGAGTGTGTGTGGTAGAGGGTTGGCGTCTACGTGGCAGGTGAGGTAAAGGTTCGTGTCCTCTCTCACCACTGTTCCTTCAAGCGGCTTCCCCATCCTTAACTCAACCTCTGGTGCGTCTGTGAGAGAGAGAGAGAGAGTGTGTTAGTTACTGTGGGGAGAGAGAGAGAGAGAGAGAGAGAGAGAGAGAGAGAGAGAGAGAGAGAGAGAGAGAGAGAGAGAACAAAACACACACACACACACACACACACACACACACACACACACACACACACACACACACACACTTTCTCTTACTTTCTTTCTTTTCCACTCTCTATTTTTCTTGGCTGGTGAGTTGCGTGCCTAAGGGCGGAAGTGTCTCACAGGCAACCAATATTCCCAGTGGTGGTGGTAGTGGTGGTAGTGGAGGTGGTGGTAGTGGTGGTAGTGGAGGTGGTGGTAGTGGGGGTGATGGTGGTAGTGGTGGTGATGGTGTCAGTAGTGGTATAGTAATGGTGGTAATAATGTTGGTAGATGTAGTTGTAGTGATGGTGGTAGTTGTAGTAGTAGTGGTGGTAATAGTTGTTGATATACAGACAGGTGTGTTCCCAGGTACAACTCACACAAGTAACAAATTATAAAATTAAGACAGGTAAAGAATTATAAACAATACAATTAGAACTTTAAACGATTAATTAAACGACATAATTATTTAAAAACAAAATACAAAAAAATAATCGATTAATCTGTCTTGTAGTTAGTACTGACTTTACACGTCAGGGGGATGGATCTCTAGTTCACGTTTCAACCACTAAGCGAAGCACAATTGGAAATCGGTCTATTGGCTAAAACCACAACTTCCGCACACACACACACACACACACTATTTCGAACGCAATATAATTAAATACTTCACGCAATGTAGATAGGTGTCACGCAATACTCTTACACCTCACGCAATAAAATGTCTCACGCTATAGATGTATCTGTCTCACGCAATATAAACATGTCTCACGTAATATTAATATCTCACGCAGTATAATTATGTCTCGTGAAATTGTAAATATCTCACGCAAAGTAAAAGTCCTTTGAAGTAATTGTCTCCCGAATGTAAGCAAACATTAATCACGCAATATAAACATTCATCACACACACACACACACACACACACACACACACACACACACACACAGCAGGTAAAATCCATTTCTCTCCCCACAGTCACACCTATAGTACACCTGAGGTAGATTCATTACCAACTACGACAGGTATCACAGGTATCACAGGTATCTAGAGGGACATACATCACCCCTCCTCTCCCTCACTCGGGGATAATCCATCAGGAGAACAGTGTGTGTGGGAAAGACCATTCACCATCATCCTAGGCATTTAGACCCAACCAGGGATTTATCGTCTCCTCACGGCGTTTAGGGGTCATTTAGGGGTCATTTAGGGGTCATTTAGGGGTCATTTAGAGGTCATGAATATTGGTAATGATACGTGAACCATTTAGTTAAGATTCTTACACTATACCGCTACCTAAAATTTAATAGAGACAGAGTAGAGTAGCGTAGAGTAGACTAGAGTAGAGTAGAGTAGAGTTGAGAGATTGTGGTGGTGGTGGTTGCAGTGAGTACGATACTTCAAATGTACGGTAATATCTCGACTCTGTAAGTACGATACTACACTTGGTTATGTGTATCTTAGTACGATATAGCCTATGTGTCGTACCTATTAGAGTAACTTAAACACTGATCACTTACTTCCCTCTCTCTCTCTCTCTCTCTCCCCTTCTCCTTCTTTCCCTCCTTCTCCAACATATTCTCCTTGCTAATGACCTCCTCTCCCTCCAACACTCTCCACCATCACCACCATCACCATCATTTTAGGAGTCGGTATTGAAAGTGAGGTGAGGGTGAAGACAATTATTCAGTAATTACCACTGCGTATCAAATAACGTCTGCAGAGGGTGAGGAGGAGGGGGTGGTGGAGGAAGAAGAGGAAGAAGGAGGAGAAGAAGGAGGAAGAGAACGAGGAAGAGAGAGGGGGATGAGAAGAGGAGGAAAAGGAAGAAAGGGGGAAGACAGAGGAAGAGAAGGAACACAGAGGAGGTGGTAGAAATGGAAAGAAGGAAGAGGAGAGGAGGAGGAGAAGAATAGAAGGAAGAGGAGAGGAGGAGGAGGAGGAGGAAGAACGCCTGGTCACTGCGGTTGAAATATTACAAAGTGCAAGCTGTCTCCGGCGCAGAGTTCCTAAGTGTATATTTTAGCGCTGTCTGCCTGAGTTTGTTGTGGTGACGTGGATGGTGAGGTGGTGGTGAAGTGGTGGTGGTGAAGTGGTGGTGAGGGTGGTGGTGAGGGGGTAGTGTGGTTGGAGTGGTGGTGAGATGTGGTGGTAGTGATGGTGGTGACGGTGAGGTGGTGATCGTGGTGGTGAGTCTTTCTGAACACATTATGACATACAGAATCAACAGTACCTACACACCTCACCACACACACACACACACACACACACACACACACACACACACACACACGGCATCATTCCTCCTCTGTTCTTCCATTCTTTGCTTCTTTGCTTTATCATTGTCTTTGCCTAATCTTCATATTTACTGTCATTTCCTCGTTTATTTTATTCAGTCCTCTATTCCTCCTCTTCCTTCCATAAGTCAAAGCCAATTCCTTATTCCTTCATTCGTTATATCCTACAATGTTTTTTTGATTCCTCGGTGTCTATACTTCTCTATTTTTATCACCAATTCCTCCTCTTCCTCATTCATCTCCTTCCCTTCTTCCCTTCTACACCTTAACCAATACCCTTACCTTCTCATTTCTCTTGGATACCTTGATTCATCAGTGTCTTTGCCGATTCATTTTTATCGTCGTTTCCTGGTCTCTCTCTCATTCTTTCTCCCCTCTTCCCTCTCGGCATTAGCCAACACTCTTTCCTCGTCTCCCCCTCTTCCTCTTTTGTCTTCTCGGCTCGATTGTGTTTTCATCTTTATCCAAGGTTTTAGTTCCCCCCGTTTCTCTTTTGTTTGTAATGCCTCTCTCTCTCTCTTCTTCTCTTCTTTCGAGTCTTCCTTCTTTCTCTCACTCCCCTTCTCTCCTTCCCTCCCTTCCCTCTATACCCTCTCCTTGCATTTTCTCACTCTCTCCTATCTTCTCATTCCTAGTTCGTCCCTCTTCCTTTTCTTTCCATCTCTCTCTCCTTCATTTTCATCTTCCTCCCCCTCTATCAACCTTCCCTCTTTTCCATCCTCCACTCCCCTTCCCACCCCTTCAACCTCTATCCCTTCCAATCCTTCATCCTCCTCCATCCTTTACCATTTCCCCTCCCACTAGTCCATCCTACACCCCCACCCACTCTCACTCGTCCCCACCTCTCCATCCTCCACCCCTTCCCACTCTACCCCCTCCCACTGCGCCATCACCTCCCCACCTCTCCATCCTCCACCCCTCTCACTCTTCCATCCTACACAGGGCCTCCTATTCCACCATCCTCCCTTGCTCAGCCTCGTAGGATTGAATTATAAATCAGCTGAGTTATCAAGCGAAGCGGCTGACTGAAGGCGCCCTGTGTGTGACCTGACCCAGTCCTCATTATCTCTCTCTCTCTCTCTCTCTCTCTCTCTCACTGGGTCAATAGAGGGAGGAGTGGCTGGAGGTCGCTCCCCACAAGGTCAAAGGTCGTATACGAGACAAGAGGTCGTCCACACCGTACTGGAGGTCGTTTTTACAGAGTGAGAGGTCGTGGCACTGATCCTAGTCTCAGCAGTATGGTCGTGGCACTGATCCTAGTCTCAGCAGTATGGTCGTGGCACTGATCCTAGTCTCAGCAGTATGGTCGTGGCACTGATCCTAGTCTCAGCAGTATGGTCGGTGGCACTGACTGTCCCAGTCTCAGCAGTATGGTCGTGGCACTGATCATAGTCTCAGCAGCAGCATGGTCGGCACTGATCCCAGTCCAGCATGGTCGGCAGGCACTGATCTCAGTCTCAGAGGTATGGTCGTGGCACTGAGCCAAATACAACGTTTCATGACGACGGCACTCTGGAGCCAAGCAGTGGTCAAGAGGGGGGGGGCGGGAGGGAGGGAAGGAAAGGACGAATTGAGGGTATGAAGGATTGAGAAAGGGAGATAAGGAAAGAGGAAGGAGATGGAGGGTTAGAAAAAGAAAGGGATTGAAGGAAATAATGAAGGAAAGGGTGAAAACAAGAGAAGGACCGAGGGAGTGAAGGAAGGAAGGTAGGAGAAAGGGAGAGAGAGAGAGAGAGGGGGAGGTAATAAAAAAGGAAGAAATTGAAGGAGGGGAGGAGAGAGAGAGGAAAGCAAAACAAGCCTGGTGGTGGGTCCAGCTCCCCCCTCCTTCCCTCACCCCCTCCCTCCCTCACTCTCTCCCTCCCTCACCCTCTCCCTCCCTCCTTCCCTCCCTCGCAACAAAACTTGGCCTCACTGGACTTGTATAATGGCGTCGAGGAAGTTTTCTTGCGAAGAGTAATTACCGGTTTTGTTTTAATCAACTTTAAAGTCACTACACGGGCGAGGCTCGGCAGGGGGTCATGCCTTCAACTCTTGGTGGGGAGGGGGACGTGCTGGGAGGGAGGGAGGGAGGGAAAGGTGTTGGGAGGGAAGGGAGGTAGGGAGGGGGTTACTGTGTGTGTGTGTGTGTGTGTGTGTGTGTGTGTGTGTGTATGCTTTGTGTATGTGCATGTGTGTGTTGTCAATCAATTTCTTTGACGTCAGAGCCAAAAGTTCTCATAGTTTGGAGTACATTTAGATCAACGACGCAAGGAAAGACCCCCCAAAAGACCCCCCCAAAAGACCCCCCCAAAAAGACCCCCCCCCTAAAAAAAATCTACCAGGTGGTAATACGAATAAAAACAAAACAAAATCTAGAGGCGCCAAATGGTCACCTTCCCAAGTTCCTGAGCTACAAATTCCCAACAAGAATAACAAGCTAATACTCGAATCAAGGTTAAGGTTCACTCACCGACTCGAGGGTCAAGTGTATATATCCTCTGTCCACTTATCGGTCAAAGCAGAGTCGTAAAAGAGAGTTATGGGCGGCAACAGCAGGAGCAGCAGCAGGGGGGGGTGGGCCTTGAAGCATCATCGGGACAGAAGCAGAAATAGCAACAAGGGGACGAGACACAGCATCGGCACAGCAATAACAGCAAAACAAAAAACAGCAAAAGGAAGAACAATACCAGCAACAACAGGAAGACCAAAAAACAGCATCGGTACAGCAACAGAAACAGCGATAACAGCAGATGAAATAAAATACAAACAGTACTGTACCAGAAACCAGCCAACCAAACCCCAGGAAACACAACTCAAAGGAAGGTACAAGGATCAGACGTTAACCCCTCACCCCCTTACCCCTCCCCCTTGCCCCTACCACCCCCCTCCCCACTCTCTACCCTCTCCCTACCACCATTAGAAACAACAACAATACCACCACTACCACGACTACTACCATCAGCTGCTGGAACAAGAGCACAGCAATCACCGCCCCCCTCCCACTCCCACCTCTCCATCCCTCTCCACCTTGACCCCATCTCTCCCCTCTCCATCCCCCTCTCCACCACTACCACCAAAAGCCGTGTTTACAAAATCAACAACAACAATAACCTAGGCAGCTGCGTAAAGAGAGAGAGAGAGAGAGAAGAGGGAAGAGAAAGGGCCAGAGGAGGAGGAAGGAGGAATGAGGAAGAGGAGGAGAAGTAAGAAGTTTTGCGACTCACTGGAAAGACACGAGTTTTATTGCTGCTCCAGGAGGGGATATTGTGAGCTCCTTAACATCCCATTGAATTTAGAGTAGACACACACACACACACACAAGATTCCTGCCAATAGTAACCATTCGCTATTCTCTAAGGGCCAAACTTGTTTCCTCACCCTCTCTCACCCTCCTTTCCCTCACCCTGGTTGTACTCCCTTCCTCACCCTCTCCTCCCCAATTCTTCCCCACCCTTCCCCCTCTCCTCCTTCACCCTCATCCTCTTCTTCTCTCTCCCCAACCCTTCTCCTCCTTCCCACACTCCTTTCCTCCATCTTCTCCCTCACCCTTACCCATCTCTTCCCCCCCCATCTCTCTCCTCCCTTACCCATCTCTTCCCCCCCCTCTCTCCTCCCTCACCCTCTCCCTCCTCACGTGCGTACCATCGGCTGCAAGGAGAGGGCGCCCCTATGTATAATGCAAGAGAAACACTAGCCAGGTTCAAGGCCCGTAATCCTACCCAAGCTCAGAGCCGCATACAGCCCAGAGCTCTTACGTGCACACACACACACACACACACACACACACACACACACACACACACACACACACACACTCTAGATGCTTAAACGCTAAATAGACCCAATGTAGCTCGTTATGTGTGACGGGATGAGTGTCCTGTCACGGGGTATTATGGGAGGGGTATTATGGGAGGGGTATTATGGGAGGGGTATTATGGGAGAAGGGGTATGTGGGAGGGGGCCAGGGTGATGGGGAAACTCACATCTCCTCTTAACCGTCTTTTACCCTTCCTTTCAACCGTAAAATATTCCCTCAACCGCAAAATTCCCCACCACTTTCTTGCCCTTACAACTTCCTCTAATAGTTTGCGGCCGGAGATGGAAGATTTTCCCTCTTACGAAAAAATTCCCCCGCCAGCGACCCACTCTACGCCAAGACCATCCCCAAGGCCTCTTCTGGTGGGGATTTTTTATTTTTTTTTCTGAAGTTTCTGTTTATTATTTTATCATATATTATTATTATTATTATTTATTATTTATTATTATTATTACTATTATTATTATTATTATTATTATTATTATTATTATTATTATTATTATTATTATTATTATTATTATTATTATTATTATATATTATTTATTATTTATTATTATTATTTATTATTATTATTATTACTATTATTACTTCATGATGGTTCGTTGATGACAGAACACCTTAAGACAGAGGGATGGACAGACAGACAGACAAACAGACAAACAGGCTGGACAGAGTGAAGAAAGAGACAGGTACAGATCAATATATATCCCTCCCTCTCCTACAGTACATAACAGAGTTGGGGGTGGGGGGGGGGAATAATAAGCTCCTCAAGGTAGTTTTGGATGTGTGTGTTTTGAGAACTGTGATGATGATCTGTCAGAAAGTTTGGTGGTTGGTTATGATTGGAGGAGAGAGAGAGAGAGAGAGAGAGAGAGAGAGAGAGATACAAACACACACACAGGTACTCACAGGTAACGTTAATGACGATGTGGTCTTGCAAGGTGTGGAGAGGTAGAGCGGGGTTGGTGACACGACAGGTGATTCTGGCCCCGTTGTCACGCCTCTGTACCGCCACCCTCACGTGACTCACTCCACCCATACTCGTGACGTCCTTCTGCAGGAGAGAGAGAGGCGGGGGTTAGTCTGGTGGTCACAGGAGGTAGGGAGGAAGGAAGGAAGGAAGGGAGGAAGGAAGGAACAACACACAACAGTCATAAGCCACAGTCTTACAAAATAAAAATAAGAATAACATCACAAAATAAAACATAGATAAATTAATAATAAAAATACCCAAAATACGAAACGAAAATGAAAGGTAAATAATAATAATAATAATAATAATAATAATAATAATAATAATAATAAAAACTATGAAACACAAGAATGAAACAGAAGTATTAAAATTGAGAGTGAAACAGAAACAGGCAAGAGGAGGAACAGAGTGCGTGCTAGAGTGTGTTTTACTGAGTGTGTGTGAAAACTTTGCCTCAGTGTGGGAGATGAGATGGACAAACGGACGGACGGGAAGGAAGATTTTTGGGGGAGAGATTATATAAATTCTTCATTAATCACCCCTCTTCCCTTTCTCTCCCCCCCCCCTCTGCTCCTTCACCCCTTCCCCTTTCTCCCTCTCACCCCCTCCTCTCTTTCTCTCTTCCTCATTCTCCCCCTTTCACTCTCCCATCCCCCTCCCTCCTCTCCACTCTCTTAACCTTCCTTCTCTTTCCTCCTCCCTCATTCTTTCCCTCACTTCCCTCCCCTCCCCCCCTCCCCTCTCCTTACAACTCTTCCCAAGTGTCGTCTCATAACTCTTGACAAGGACAGGCAAAAAGACAGAGTGAGACAGAGACAGACAGTGATGGATAGACTTGACGTAATGACTCGGATAGACAGAGATAGACAGACAGAGATAGACAGTAATGGATAGATTGAAATGAGAGAGAGAGAGAGAGAGAGATGCAAAACTATTCATCAACTTTAAATAAACCACAAAAAAATTTACTCAACAAAAAAAAATCGTCAAAAAATAAAATAAAAAGAAAACGAAAAATAAAAAAAAAATAAAAAAAATAAATAAAGACAAATTGTTCGGTAATGCAAAATTTTTCGCTCATTTGGTTTCTATTCAGTGTGATAATGACGATGAAATTACAGGAAAAAATGAGGATATCAACTGAAAACCTTTTAATTATACGTTACTTTTGTGTTGGTGTTTGTGTTTGTTTGTTTGTTTGTTTGTTTTGTGTTTGTTGTTTCCTCATAATGGTTTGTTTTTTCTTGTCGATAGAAAAGAAAAAATCTCTATGGAAACTCAACACCGTGACATACAAATGCATCTATCTATCTATCTATCTATCTGTCTATCTATCTATCTATCTATCTATCTATCTATCTATCTATCTATCTATCTATCCTTTAGCCACTAGGAATAAGAAAGGAACCATTCACATCCCTCTCAGGCAATGTAGGACTTTGCAGGACCCAAGACGGAAGCTGCAGTCCGAATCCTGTGTAATATAGGATCTATTGACTGAAGGAGGGAAGCCGCTAGCCAAGTCCTGTGTGTGTGTGTGTGTGTGTGTGTGTGTGTGTGTCTAGGACCTAATAATCGTAGGATCCAGGACCTTAAGATCTGATTGGACCCAAGGAGGAAGCTACCAGGATATCCTAATACTATATAGGATCTTAAAGGACTAATGAAAAAGGGTAATATCCTATCAAACTTCATGTAGGACCTCATGAGATTAAGGAAGGAAGCTACTTGACCATCCTAGTAAATAGAAAGAGCGAGCGCACACACACACATAAAGCTGACACGACACTGAGGCAGGCTGATGCAATTTACCATTAATCAGGGTTGCCAGCTCTGACACAGTTACCCCTCTAATATTAACAAATGTAGCACAAAGTCGCTAACACGTCATGTTCCACGAGCCTTTATTTAAACGGGGACACGTGGACATGCTGCCCGTCCTTACCTGAGCTATTTGGTTCATACACCTGTGTCTCTGAGTTTGTAATGGCAATAACTCGAGTCAATATAAACCGATTCTGATGGAACTTGGTGTGTGTGTCTGTAACCGGACAGTACTTCAAAAAATATTCAATAATCAGTAATTTACCTCATTATTTTAGGAAGTTATGGATAAATTAGTTATTAAAGGGCACTTGAACTAAAGGTATGCAGGACAGGTAACCTCCAAGGTGTCCTGAGGCTTCCGGGTATAATTAATCCTCAACAATACCTGGCTCAGGTGTGTTTAGACTAGAGGGTCATAAGCTGGTTGGTATGTATAATGTGGACCTGAGACACATATTAAAGGTGTAATGAATATCACTTTTGTTTTGCCTGTAATTTAGTTTTCTTTGTGTGTGTGTGTGTGTGTGTGTGTGTGTGTGTGTGTGTGTGTGTGTGTGTGTGTGTGTGTGTGTGTGTGTGTGTGTGTGTGTATGTGTGTGTGGGTCCCATTACACCTGAGTTGTAGGTGTTAACAGAGGTCTTCAAAATTAGGTTTTGTCTTGGTCCTTCTGATACACCTTCAGATTACACGCCATACCACACAGCCACACCACACAGCCACACCACACAGCCACATCACACAGCCACACCTAAGATCCATAAACCAAGACATAGCCAATTTACAGACATGCCCCCCTCCCCCACCACCCCCCCCACACCACCCCCCCCACACACGCACTATACCCACATCATAATTACGTTCCAGGGTTATATATAGCAACCACGACTCACTCCAAAACCACGCCTTATACCCACAGACCCATGCCCCAACACTGTCTAGTACACGCCCCGTCATACAACCCACGCCACCACGTTGTTACACGCCTCAAGTACTTCCCCTACACGATCCCTTAACAAATTTAACCTCTTGAGTGTTCGTTCTATCCGCCACGTCCACACACACACACGCCCTCTTCCCTCTCTTCCTCCTCTGCTCCTCTTTCTCTACCCCTCCTCTTCCTTCCTCCTTTTCCGTTCCGCTCTAACTTTCATTTTTCTCTCTCTCCCCCTGTCATGTCCACACTCTCTTCCTTAGGCACCTCTCTCTCTCTCTCTCTCTGTTTTGTCACTCCCCGTTTCTCTGATTCCCTCCCCTCCTCGTTCTTCTTCCTATTTTCCTCCTCTCCTCCTTCCCTTCCCTTCGTTCTCTTTCCTCTTCCCACCCTTCCCTTCCTACCCCTTTCTCTTCCTTTTTTCCCTTCCACCCTTTTCCGCTTTCCATTCCTCCCCTTTCCTCCCCCTCCTCTCCTCTCTCTCTTCCTTCCCTCCTTCCCTCGTCACACACTCGGACGTGACCCCCAAATTTATTACGAGTGAGTCAGTGGATGGCCAGTGTAAAGTGTACTGGTTATGTGTTAATGGCCCGGGGGTTCTACCTGAGGGTCCTACCGGGGGTCCTACCTGAGGGTCCTAATTGGAGATCCTACCTGGGGACTTTACCTGGGGGTCTTCCTTCTCCCCTGCTGATGTTTTTTCCCTCTTCTTATTCTTCTTCTTCTTGTTCTCCCTCCTCATCAACATTCCTCTTTTCCTCCTCCTCATCCTTCCCTCTTCTTCCTCCTCCTCCTCCTCTTCCTCCTCCTCCTCCTCCTCTTCATCCTCTTCCTCCTCCTCCTCCTCATCCTTCCCTCTTCTTCCTCCTCCTCCTCCTCTTCCTCCTCCTCCTCCTCCTCTTCATCCTCTTCCTCCTCCTCCTCTTCATCCTCCTCCTCCACTCACCCAGCATCAGAGAGGTAGGTAGGTCACCACACACAGTCTCCCGTGTTCACAAGCAATACTCCGCCTCAACTGTTTCCTCTTGGTAGAACATATACGTCTTAACTACCCAACTACTGTATTGGTCATTCACGTCATCCCTAACAGCTATACTGGGTAAACTCCAGCCAAGATCCGCACTACCCTGACCTAACTACTCTGACCTTGCAATACCCCCTGACCCACACGCGTACAATACCTGCAATACTACACACACACACACACACACACACACACACACACACACACACACACACACTGTAACGTTTAACTTAATTTGATAAAAAAAAACGAAGTGAACTGCCCGAGTGATAGGGAGGAACTGAGGGCAAAAGGTCGTGAAGCGTTATCTTTATAACCTTGAATGGTCCAATCACACGTCCTCAATTGTATGACGTCATCCAAAGAGTGATCTGATTGGCTAATGATTAATTTACGACCCATGACGTTCTCTCGTATTTCAGGAGATAAGGTCAGTCTAAACACTCCTTAAAACTGATTAGATATAAACTAGACGACATTATTTACCATAGGGATATATTCATGTATGTATATATGTATGTATGTATGTGAAACGTAGAGTTACATATACAGTATACAGTATACTTAAAATACACAGAAACACGAAAAAGACAATCTATCTATCTATATATCTATCTATCTATCTATCTATCTATCTTCCTCGTTCATCAGGCAGGTGGAGGGATCGTGGGTGTAATCTGGCAGGTGTCTGTGTGTTATCTGGGGGGGGGCGTGGAGGTCGATCACCCCCTCCCCAAGCCCGTTCATTACAGTTTCCTCCCCTGCCAACCCGCTAATGGACTCACCCCCCTTCCCCCCCCATCTGCTCTCACCTGGTCTCTTGTACAGGTCTACCGTGTTGGTCTGTTTTAAGTGATAGTTAGTTATTGAAGTTGTGTTTTGGGGGGTTTGTTATTAGAGTATTTTGTTGTTGCTATTATTATTATTATTATTATTATTATTATTATTATTATTATTATTATTATTATTATTGTTATTATTATTATTATTATTATTATTATTCTATTTTATCACTAACCTCTATATACTGGCTGACACTACCACTAGCCATCACTAGCACTACCATGACACCCACTGGCACCTTCACCACATAATTCTCACCTGGTAGCTTTTGTCTCCCTCAGATATCAATTATCTAGAGAGAGAGAGGAACCGTCCACCCAATTTACCTCTTCCTGCCGCCCGTTATCACCACCCACGCCCTCGACCTGTGTGTGTGTGTGTGTGTGTGTGTGTGTGTGTGTGTGTGTGTGTGTGTGTGTGCGTGTTTATTAGGTAACCATGATCTCCTCCCTCCCTCTTAACAACTGCTTTAGTGAGGAAACTTGTGCCATAAGAGAAGATGGAAGGGGGTGGATCCTAGACGCCCTTGTGTACGAGAGAGATCCTTGTCCTATACATCCCGCAACGGGGGAGAGACAGCCATCCAATCCTACACGCCCTTGCAAAATCAGTCCTCAACACCTTCTTGCTCTTCACAAACAACACTTCTCTCCTCCTCGGGGTTGGCAGGGACCCGCCCGTCTTGCCTCCCCGCCACCTAAGTACCGTTTGGAGTAATCACCCCTAAGCAGGACCATCGAGGGAGGCAGGTGACGATCGCTCTTATCCTCACTGAAGCCCAAGTTTGGTCGTCACCTTGTCTGGTAGTCGGGGCCAGCTCGATGACTTGGGAGGGGGAGGAGATGAGATGGGGAGAAGAGGAGGGGAGAAGGGGGAGAGGAGGATATGAGGTGAGGAGAAGAAGAGGAGGTGGGGAGGTGATTAAGAGGAGATGACGTGAGGAGAGAAGGAAGAGGGTATGAGGAATGAAGGAGGGGGAAGGTGGTGAGGAGATGAGATGGAGAGAAAAGGAGGGGACGGGAAGGGAGGTAGAGTGTGGATGGTAAGGTGGATGAATGGGTGGGTGGACAAGGACGGGTAGATAGGTGGAAGACCAAGTAGAAGAGGACAAAGAGGAATTAGGGATAATTAAAAACACTAAATTCAAGTTACTATATAAAAGTAAATGATATAAGACACATATTTCTCATCCCCAATATATAGAGACACACTGACCAAACCATCCAGACTTAACACTACTGACGCCGTCGCTGCTGGTGGTGAGGAAAAAGCCATAACCAATGTCTTGTCTAAAATCCCGGAAGGCGCGAGACATAAGCCACATCTGTCCCACTCGATGAAAAGAGACATCAAAAACACGACTCAAGCAGCTTTACCCAGTAGTCAAGAGCCGGACTCAAGGACTCCCGTGAAAAACATCGCCAGGGTGAGTAATCAGCAGTGCCTGGCGTTCCCTTCCAACCCCGCAAATGACACGCTTATGGAGGCTAAGCCAGATGAACGTTCGCCCGCCTTGTGCCTGTGGTGGCGCTCTTTTATGGTACGAATTTAAGACGTCTTGGAAAGGCAGGCAGGCAGACCAAGGGGGAGGGTGACAGGTAGGTCAGGGAAGAGGAGGGTGACTTAGGGAAGGAGGGAGGAGGGGGGACTTAGGAAGACCGAAATGGGGAAGGGAGGAGAGGGAGGGGAGGGCGGAGGGGGAGAGGGAAGGGGAGGGGGTGGGGAGGGGTGAGGGGGTTGACTTAGTGTGTGGATCCACTTTATATCTTCCTCGTCCGCTGCCTAAATTTTAGACCAAAATATACCCGAAAAAGATTGTAGCCGTATTTCTTGGCGACGCTGTTAACCGTCTGCAGGAGAGAGAGAGAGAGAGAGAGAGAGAGTAGCAAACCCTTGTGCGGTGTATTGCAAATTGAATGTTGCAGGAAAAGTATTGATACGTGGTCGAGTAGCTACTGGCGTGGTCGAGTAGCTACTGGCGTTATCGGGTAGCTACTGGCGTGGTCGAGTAGCTACTGGCGTTATCGGGTAGCTACTGTCGTGGTCGGGTAGCTACTGTCGTGGTCGGGTAGCTACTGGCGTGGTCGGGTAGCTGCTGTCATGGTCGAGTAGCTACTGGCGTTATCGGGTAGCTACTGTCGTGGTCGGATAGCTACTGGCGTTGTGGTCAAACCCAGTAAGACTAAATTTCCTTGGAATATATTTCGCCAAAATAATGAAAAGCGAAAGTTGTCTTGATATTTTCCCCTAAAGTTTCCTGCTAAGTCTCGATAAATTTGTGTGAGATATTTTTCCCTTTACTTAGATCGTATCCGGAAGTTGTTGTTGTTGTTGTTTATGTTGTTGTTGTTATTGTTACTGTTGTTGATATTATTATAGGTTTAATTATTTTTGTTTTATTTATTATTGTTGTTGTTTTGTTGTTGTATTTCTTGTTGATATTGTTATTGGTGTTATTGTTTGCATTGTTAGTCATGTTATTAATGTTGTTATTGTTGTTTTTATTGTTAATCTTTTCGTTGTTATTATTGTTGATATTTTTGTTACTGTTGTTATTATGAGGAAGGTAACACTAATATATCCCGAATGTTTTCTTGTACCGCAGAGGGCCCAACATGCACTAATTTCCCACAGTGTCTCCATTAAAATAAATCTTGACACTGTAGCCTCGAGCACTCAGTCAATGTATTCTTCAGACATATTCTTTTCTCATCAAACTTTCCGAACATAATGGTGGTGATAGAGCAGGTGTTTTGGGAAGAAAGTAGGTGGGGGAAGTATTGTATCGGAAGGAAAAAAGTCTGGAGAAAATTTAGTCGGGTGGAAAATAAGTTGGGGGAAATAAGTATGGAGGGAATTAAGTCGGGTGGAAAATAAATCGAGCGGAAAACAAGTCGGGAGGAAAATAAATCGGGAGGAAAATAAGTCGGGAATAAAAATAATTCGGCAGAAAAATAAGCCGGGAGTAAAAATAAGTTGGGAGGAACATAAGTCAGGAAGGAAATAAGTCGGGAAAAATAACCAATGCCAAGCAAGAGACTACACAGTGGCAGTATATGTAGACACGCACAGGGCCACTGAAATAACTTACAGTCATGCATGTACACACGTTCACCTGGGATGTAAACGTGTCTGCATGCATTTATAGACGTATGTATGTATATATATTGTACATACATATACATATAACACGCATACTCACACAGATACACAAGCAGACACGTGTTTATGTATACGTGTATAAGAGCCGAACATACAAGATATACAGATTTCTACTGATGTATGAATAATGTACACACACACATACACACACACACACATACACACACACACACACACACCATTACAGCCGTAACTCTAGTGAAGGAGGAGATTGATTAGCAACACACCCACAATAGAGAGGGCAGAAGAGGAGGAAGGGGAGGGAGGGGGGGGAGAGGGGGAACAGACAAGTCTTTCCTCTTTATTTTAAGTCTGTCTAAAATTAAGACTTTCTGTGTATTGTAAGTTTGAAAGACTAAGTTATACAATAGGTGTTTTAAGTATTGTTATTCCCTATAAGTAGATGTTATTGTTGTATTATAAGTTTGTAAGTATTTTAAGTCTATACTGAACACCTATATTTTGTAATATAAATCCAATATTATTTTCATTAAGTAAAAAACAAAAATACTTCAGGTATCGTAGTCCATCCTGGGAAAAATTAATTCACCTAGGAAAAAAAATTAAATCCACGGATGAATAATTAAAAGATATGTATTATTTATTTATTCATATCAGATCACTCGTTCGTATCCAGCACTCACTGAACCTCGAGACCTTTGACCTTCTGTAACCTTAAAATAATACCAGGGTTAGGGTAGGTCAGTTTAGGCCCCACCTGACGGTCCCTATGATTTAATTAGAGGACTGATGAAGATAGATTGTTATAAAGGGCACTTGGTTAAATGGGTCTCGCTGCTAATTGGCCCCTAACTTAACCCACCTAAAATAGAAGCTGGGGGTTCGTTTAGATTACGATTCCTGGAGGACTCTGGGTCCATTAGATTGGTTGGTTATTAGGATTCGGGGTCTATTCCTATACAGGTAGAGCCCCAATCGGAATGGTTAGATTTGGTTGGGGCCTATTAAGACTGGGGGCCTATATGACAAGTTCCTAGTCGTCTTCAACCCAAATTCAACCAAACCTAACCACACCACAAGGACTAGTGCTCACCCCCCCCCCCTTCCTCCTCATCACGGCCAGGTGGCAGGTGAGTGTGTTACCTGCCGGAAGCACCTCACACGCCTCACCTGTAATCTGAGCTCAATTTATGTGACGTTCCCTGTCTTGGTGTCGTGAGAGGCTGCTCCACTCACACGCGTTTAGGGAGAAAATAAGGTAAGATTGTTTGGGTGTTAGAGACAGACAGACAGACAGACAGACAGACAGACAGACAGACACTTACCCTATCCGTGTTCTCTGTCCGTAGGAGGGTTGCGCCTTTGTACCAAGAGATGATGGGGTGAGGTCGTGACCCTCTCGCCGTACAGGTCAGGTCAAGCATGTCACCTGCCCTGACTGACCCGCTCACCGCTGCCCCTGTGATCTCCGCCGATAGAGGTCGCACTGTGGAAGGAGAGAGAGAGAAGATAAAATAGGTCATGGTAGGTCCTATGGGAGATCAAGGGTACTCATGGGAGGTCAGATAAGGTCATGGGAGATTAGAGAAGGTAGTGAAAATGGTAGTTGTTGCGATAATGGTGGTGTTGGTGGTGATAATGGTGGTGTTGGTGGTGATAATGGTGGTGTTGGTGGTGATATTGGTGGTGAGTAATGGTGGTGATAATGGTGGTGTTGGTGGTGATAATGGTGGTGTTGGGGTAGTGAAAATGGTAGTTGTTGCGATAATGGTGGTGTTGGTGGTGATAATGGTGGTGTTGGTGGTGATAATGGTGGTGTTGGTGGTGATAATGGTGGTGATAATGGTGTTGGTGGTAATGGTGGTGGTGGTGATAATGGTGATGATAGTGGTGGTGGTGGTGATAATGGTGATGATAGTGGTGGTGGTGGTGATAATGGTGATGATAGTGGTGGTGGTGGTGATAATGGTGGTGGTAGTGGTGATAGTGGTGTTGGTGGTGATAATAGTGGTCTGGTGGTGATAATAGTGGTGTTGGTGGTGATAATAGTGGTCTGGTGGTGATAATGGTGTTGGTGATAATAGTGGTGTTGGTGGTGATAATGGTGGTGTTGGGTGGTGATAATGGTGGTGTTGGTGGTGATAATGGTGGTGTTGGTGGTGATAATGGTGGTAGTGATAGTGATGTTCCCATTCCTAGTAGGTCCCAATTAAGCTGTACCTGGTGACTTGCTGGCCGCTGAGGTGACCATCATAAAATACCTTCATTAGAGAACTTTCTTCCCTTCTCACCCCTCTAGCACACACAAGGTCCTCACCACCCCACCCTCACCCTCACTCCCCACCCTCACCACCCCTCCTCACTTGCTCTCACCCTCACTGCCCCACCCTCACCACCCCTCTCCCACCTCACCACCTCCCTCCCCACCCTCACCACTTACCCTCACCCCTCCCTCACCACCCTCCCTCACCCATCACCCCCACAAGACACCTCATCATCATCCATGTATCAGAGACCTTCTTCATGTGGTTCTTCCCCTCCTGCAGTAGGTGGGGGCCCTCGGTGTCACCAGCCACCGGAGGTACAACAGCTGGACCCCAAATTCCTACAAAATTTTGAGGTTATTTTACTTTTCTTGAATAGTTAACGACTCGACAACTTTCTCCTCCAGGGAATTTTTGAGATAAATTCTTCAGACGGCCATGACACCGGAGGTAATATTCACCTTTATTAACACTTAGGAGTATTTTTGAGGTGGTTAGGTTAGGTTATGAGGCGTTTGGTTGAGATGTGGTTGTGAGGAAGAAAATTCTCTCAGTAATTCAGTAAGTGAATCAGTCAATCAATCAGTCAAAGAAACATCACCACCTCCACCACCTCACATCCCCCCATCACCTCACATCCCCCCATCACCTCACACTTCCCCCATCACCTCACATTCCCCCATCACCTCACATCCCCCCATCACCTCACATCCCCCCATCACCTCACACTCCCCCACCACCTCACAGTCCCCCCACCACCTCACTCCCTCACTCATGATTCATAGAGTTCTTCTCACCTGGAGCAACAAAGCCTCCACTAAGTCCACTCATTAACTCACCTGTCCTCACTTTTACCTGTGACTTAGGTAGGTAATTATGCTCACTCTCACAAGCAACACCGACACCTTTAATGCACGAGGCGAGAGTCAATAGGTCGTGCCAATCTCCTCTTTATGAGTTAGTTAATGTCTGGGTAAGTTTGACTCGTACAAGGTCAAGTGTAGGTCAGATGGTTAAATGTAGGTTAATTGTTGGTTGATTGTAGGTTAAATGTAGGTCAAGTGTAGGTTAGATGGTTAAATGTAGGTTATATGTAGGTTAAATGGTTAGATGTATGGCAAATTTAGGTCGAATGTAGGTTAAATGGTTAGATGTATGGCAAATTTAGGTCGAATGTAGGTCGAATGTATGATAAATGGTTAAATGTAGGTCAAGAGGTCAGATGTAAGATAGATCTAAGTCAAAACGTTACTAACTCACTCAGTAACTTAAGTTGGGTTAGATCAGGTTACACTGGGGCCTTGTCGAAGCTACAATACCTTCACTCCGTAACACTCACAATGCATGTCGATGGTGACGGTAGTGGTGGTGACGGCGACAGGTGCGGTGGAGGCCTTGCAGGTGAGTACAGAGTGGGCGTGGGCGCGGGTGAGAGGGTTAAGCACTAGGTTGTTTGACACTACGCCCGACCCCATGGCCAGCCAGGAGTCGTCGATCACTGCTTCTCCAAACCACCACGATACCTTAGGCTGAGGACGACCTGCAGAGAGAGAGAGAGAGAGATGAGATAAAAATGTCGTTCAGTTCATGTGTGTATCCAGGTAAGTTATGTTAATTCGCAATAAACATAATTCAGCAATAACTTAATTTACCTGAGTTCAATGGCCTTGTTTTATACAGGTAATTGGGAGGCTGGACAGGTAAGGATATTGTCTTTTAACCCCGTGTACTGAAACAGGGTCAAGGTCAATATCCTAACAAACGAGGTTAACTTGGATAAAATACTTCCCCCTTAACCTCATTAACCTGGATAAATCAGACTTAAGCGGGATAATGTGGCGTTAATGAGTGTGCTGTATACCTGTAGGCGATAACCAACAGCGGGGCCTTGTGTTTACAGAAAATGTGCTCCATAAAGTAGAGTTATTTGGCCTCTGTTAATTGCTACAAAATCAGGAGCATAAACACTATGTAGGAGCATTAGTATACAAGGCTCTCGTGGACTGTAGGTCAGATGGGTCAATTAGTTTTAATCCCCAACCTAATCTTACCTTAATGATTGTGATTGGAGTTCATCAGGACGGGGGGGTGTCTTTGAGATTGGGGTCCTTTAGAATTGGGGCCTATCAAGACTGGGGCGTATCAAGATTGGGGCCCACTTGACCTACGATCCTCAGTTATGCTAAAGCCAGGTTATGTTCCGGTGACCATGACAACACACACACACACTACACTCTCCCTACACAACCACCACCCAGTCACACACCCCACTCCCCCACTCCCCCACACCCACCCAAACCAACATCCCCCTCCCCCCCCTCTCTCTCTCTCTCAACCCACTGACTGCGTTCCAGCGTCCGCCCTGCCAAGTCCTCAAACGGTCGACCTTAAGGCGTTCCAAACCATCCCGAGGCCGAGGGACGATACCATTTCCTCGATCACAACACAATCAAATGGTTCCATAAATAAGAGACGAGGTGGGCGGTGGCGGAGAGGCAAGGAGTGACGATAATAGTTCTGTCCGCTGGATCGTTACTGTATCGAACCCAAACTACAGCTGTTGGTGTTATTGTATTAGAGAGACAGAGGTGGTAGTGGTGGTGGTGGTGTTGGTGTGGTGATGGTGTGGTGATGGTAGGGTGATGGTGTGGTGATGGTAGGGTGGTAGTGGTGATGATGGT